GATCCCTCCTGCTTCTTGTGATTATTAGAATGTAATGAAAACTTTTCTCTTCTGTTATCACATTTGTTGTTACACCACTAAACGCAACACTATATACCAGCTGCTGTCAATCACGTGGGAACCATCTATTAGGATAAAGTCTTATATATTTATCAGCGTGGAGAGGGTGACAAATACTTACTTGGGTTTGTCAAAACTTTTATGGAAACAGGTCTATCAGAACAATGATCTGAAGCCTACCAAGAAGTCCACCTTCTAACAACTCAAAAGCCAAAGAAAATAAAGGTTACAGGTTATTCTAGCCAACGGTGTTGGCATTAGATGACCTTAAACAGGCTGTTCTGTATTAAAACAGTTCTGCAAAGAAGGTCAAAATCCATCCACAGCCATCTTGGTTGAGTAAGACATTTATGCAGTATTTTGCACTTTACTAAATAAAATCCTCAAGGATATTGACATATTGGCATTAAGAACATTAATTAAGGCTGCAACTAACGATTATTTTGCTGATCAATTAACCCACCGATTAACCAGGGGAAGCTGAAACTGTGCCCCTTAAATGGTCCTGGACCGAGCCCATTTATGGAAAAAAAAAGTTTTTTTCATATTTGTTGTGCAATTTTGGAATAATCACTGCTCTGAGTAGATTGCTTTTCAAGCTAATATCATGTGTTATTCTGTATACTCCAGTTAATGAATTATTGATTACTATCGATTATTTCAATAATCCACTAATCACAATCTGATTAATTGTTTCTACCTTATTTTGGATTAATGACGAATAATATTTATGTTGTTCCAGGATTGCTATAATAATATTTGACCCCAACCTTTTAATAAAGAATGATGACTCATTTGTATACTAAGCTGAGTAAAATCTATTCCTAAGTATCATGGTGGTTGATTTGATGCGTCACAGCCGCTGAGATCTTTCTGTTCTTTGTCTTCAAATCGGCTCGTCTTTCTTCGGCCCCCATGTCGAGTCTTTTTGTTTCACTCAGTCTGCCGCTCAGACCGATTGTGATGATATCAGGTGGACGGCTCAATCAGTTATAGTGCCTCAGATGGGGATCCTGTGAATGTGTGTGTCCGTTTGCATTTGCATGATAACACAAGCATCACCCTGCCCCCAACGTTTGGTTAGTCCGTCTTGTCTGATGACATAAAGGAAAGGAGGAGAAAGCAGGGTTTTTTGTTGAAACTCAGGGCCCCACAGACAGTGTTTTTTCCCGCTGCCACCATGTTTGTAAAGTTGTTTAACTGGAAACCCTGTGAGATTATTTATGTAGTTTGTGTCGGGACAAAGAGCTGAGTCAGAGGAGCTGATACTTTGGCATGTTGGTAGGATTTAATCAGATTTGATGATTCTCTCTCTATCTTGCTGTTTTTCCATCTCAGGCACATCATCCGACTCATATTGTTTGGTTTTGAAGTGAAAAATCTCTCAAAGAGGTTAATTTCTGCAACGCTATCAGTGTATGTGACATTCAGCAGTTAGATTTGTACTTTATTTCTCTGTGTCTAAATAAGCCTAAACATTAGAAACTCTCATTTTAATGAAACCCATCTCTGAACTACTCCAATCTACAACATTAGCATAAATAAAATCCCCCTGGTTTAGTCACACTGATCTTTTTGCAGATTATCTCACCATGTTCTGGTTGTCATGTGTTCCTACGTCAACTGAAATATTGCCGTCATCAGAAAAAGTCTAAGGGCACCGTTTCAAACATGTGACAGCGTTTGGCTGCTTTGGTTTCTATCAGAAGCTGCAGAACAGAATAATCTTAGCTAAAAACACAAAAAAGTCAGTGGCTTGAAAAAGTGTGCCAGGAGGTTTTTCAAATTTTTTTAAATGTTTGATTTGATTTGTTCATTTTATTTCATTCATGGTTTACACAATTAAAATTAATACAGTATGATGATATCATTATATTTTATCATTGAACACCACAAATGAAAACGAGCATGCAGAAGACTTGTACTACCTGCCCCTGTCTGCACAAATATTTCTAGAAGTACCAACAAGGTTCAAACAAAATACACCAAAACACTAACAGGAGAAAAGAGAATAAACATAACTTCCAAGTATAAATCATAAATTCCTTTAATCTTCTAGTGCATATAATCTTATTTTAGCTTTTTAAAATATGTTCTTGAACTGCAAAATACTTCTTCAGGGAAACATTTAGAGAATTCCATAGTTAACAGAAATGCACATTTGTTTTAACGTTAAATGACCAAACCTGGGTGTTAAATCCAACCAGCGTCTACATTTCTCCTCAGATAATAAAATAATGTTCTGTAACTGTTCTGGTAGATATTTATTCTTTATCAGCGTGCATTCTTTGCATTTATTCATGCATAGTTATCAGAGTCTGAAGCTCAATTAAATCCAATATTTCATTAAACCAGACAAACCAAAGAATCTGTATTTTCGATATCCTACTTTATCTATTATACTTTTGTCTGTTTTCTGTAAAAAAATGGTGTTATTACAGCCATATATTACCATTTTAATGAGATCTTTTGTGAGAGACCAACAAAAGGTAGTGCAATTAGGGCTTCAGAAAAGGGGTATATCCGTACCAACATTACTTATCTACACACTGAAAACTATTCTTTGGAGATCACTTGAGTGTGCTTTAATCTAAACTGGGTACTTGCATCTGGTCCTTAACAGGTATGATCCCTGCAGGACTGGATTTGGATAATGCTGATCTAAACCTTTCCAATTTATGTCTGACTGGATGTTTAGTTCAGAGTTTCCTGATGGAAGGGAAACTTTGGCACGCTCTCACGTAGGTCTTCTTATATAGTCTTGTCTGGCGTTCCAGTCTTATTGAGGTTAAGTCCTTTCTGATTTTGTGTAATCAAGCAATTTTCTCCAGTGTTGCTTGAGGTGTTTGGACTTAAACCTTAGACATTAGGTCATTTTCTCAATAATAAAGATTTCCTCTACTATTCATATCCAAGGCATCAGGTGTGGAGGGTCACTTTTTAACCATTTTCTGGTAACTGCCTCTTTAGCTGCCACTATCAGGATTTTGAGGACATTGATGTCTTTCATGTGCGTCTCTTAACTCTCCAGGCAGCCCAAGTACACAGTACGTGGGTTCTTGTTATCTTGTATTGTATCATTTCTTTTAAAGCCTGAACAACTTGATCCCAGTAGGTTTGTATTTTTGTACATTGCCAAAATATATGAGACTGACTGGCATTGCCTCCAACATGGTTGCTCAGTGTGAAATAATTTATTTTGTGATTGAGGTCTTTTTTCCAGCCAATAGTGTGATATAAACAATATAGTGAGTTATTTCCGTTTCATTTTTGTAGACTTTTATTCAGTTTAGAGACTATTTTTGTTGGTATTTTTTTGTATGCATCCAAAAATAATTTAATCAATAAATTTCCTGCCGGTGATAATTATCTCTCAACCTCATTAGCATAGAAGTGTCTTAGCTGTAGGTATCTGAAAAAATCTCTGTTATTCAATTTAAATTTTCTTCTCATTTTACCGAAAGATTTACATTTTTTGCCATCTGCAAGTGTGCAGATAGCTGTTATCCCCTTTCTCCTCCATTCTATAAATGTGCTAACTGTGTCTTTTGGTTTGAATCTCGTTTACGTTATGCAGTTTGTTTTAATAAATATTTCTTAACCAAACCCAAGTCCTTCACAGTAGGGCTGCCTTCATATTTGGGTTAAATTACACACATATGCACTCTATTTTATTTCTAGCTATCAGAGAACTGAATTCAGACTAAATCCAAATCTGTGCCACACCTTTTCTATGTTTATTTGGATAAGACAAACAAAAAATTGCACTATTTTTCCTTTACTTTTCACAATTTTGTGCCATAACAATGTAAAAAGGTTCAAAGCATGTGAACAGTTTTGTAAGTTTGTCTACATAATCATTAATGGCAATCATGCTCTCTTTCTTTTGTGCCATCCATACCATGAAAGGTGACCTGCTCCCATTTCAGTTTAAAATATCCCCTCGCTACTTGTGCAACGATTTAGACATTAAAAGCGTTTTCTCTCCAGCTGAAGCTGTGATTTAGTTGTCTCAGCAGAGGACTCTCTTTAGGCTCCTGATCTTTGCCACATCATTATCTGATGACTATATTTAGAGTCTTTGCCATCTATTTTCAGTTCCCTCGCAAGTGTTCCCGTCAGTCATGCTGCTTTCTACATCCTCTCCTTTAAGGAAAAAAAAAAGGATTGAAATCTGCTGCTGGTAAATATAGATGCGGTAATAAAAGGTGCTTCAAGAGGGCGAGATTAGATAACTCAGCTTTTGAGGAGTTGTTGTGCATCAGATTTGGTCTGCTAAGGCAAAGGAAGATATGTCGTTGGAAATTGTCAAGTTTGCCTGTAAATACGTTAAGAACGGATGTCAGACTGGTGAGCTGCGTGTGGTCTTTAGCTTATAAGAACCTGCACAGCTGACAAAAGTGACTGAAGGTGTTGCAAAACCTGCCTGAGGCGCAGCAGTAACAGCTGACTTGTTTGTATCGATGTGGCGAGACCTAAAGAAGACGTGTTAGCACAGGCTTTGAATGCCACTCATCCACAGTGTGAGCATCAACAACAGTTCCTTATCCGTTGCTGCAATGCACTATGCTCACTTCCCTGCAGTTAGCCCTGGGGGTTCATACGCAGTATGGACAGATACGGAAAAATCTAGAATAGAACTTTACTATTTTCTATTTTCTAGGATTGGAAAAAAATAAAGGAAGCAGCTAAGAATGTGAAGTAATGTTAGTGGTTCAGACTTTATTGTCTTTCCTGTTGTCCTCATGTCCTACCTTCTTTGTGCATCCTCCTTTCCTTGCCTCACTTCCTTCCTCACTTAAGCCAACTTTAGAAATGTTTTCCTTAAATTTGTATTTTACAGTAAATTCCCAGGTATAGCAACTCTGGAAAGGTTCAGACTTGTATGGGGAAGCTGTAAATTCTGAACTGAGGCAGCCATTTATCTGTGTCTCCTGCAGGAGTTTCTTCCCGTGTCCCAGAGATCATGGCGGCAGGCACCCACTCCCCTGGTGGGCCCAACGGCATCATACGGAGCCAGTCGTTCGCCGGATTCAGTACGCTGCAGGAGCGACGGTCTCGGTAAGCAAAAAACTTAAAACATAAAAAAAAAAATTCTAGGTCAGGGTTGTGAATTTACTTCCATTTTATTGTCTTAGAATAAGATAATCTTATTTATATCTTCTCTTAAACTTCTTCATTAAGAGTTCAGTATGTTTTGATGATGCACAAATGACCAAAGATTGTCCAACATTGTTAGATTGCAGCCTCATGAATTTATCTGTCCAAAAATTGTATCCAAGGAGACAAATATTCTTTCAATTTGCCATATTTCTTATATTAAAGATGCGTCTTGAATTCAATTGATTGTGCTTCTGTATCCTAATCATAATATTAAAAGATGCCATAAGTATTGA